TTACACAACATTTACAATGATTTTTGACAGCTCAATGCATAGGGCCCTATGATTTCTGCGATGCAGAAAATGCGGATGGAATCGCGGAATCCAGTCATAAAAACGGAACGTCGAATGTCGTGGAATTTGTCAAATTTTGAATGAATTAATCAAAAGTAGGTCATTACACTTAAATCAAGCCTTGATGTGGACTAGTATCTGTAAATTATAAAGCCGCAAAAAGACTATTTAAATATGAATATTAAGTAGTTTTGTTTACTACACACATACTGAAGCACGCGTGACGCTCGCAGTGATTTCAGAGTCTGCCGTCTCACTAAATGAGGACATAAATACATGAACAACATCTCCAGAATTGCTCTGAGCATTTTACCGTTTGATTCGAGTAAAACTAGCGTCATATCACGTACACACAGAACTGTGAAGGTATTCACGGCAACCCGTCAAAATAAAAGTCCGGTTTAACTTGAAGACATTGTGCCAGAAATATATTACTATTGTTCAGTAGAATGTATATAGCCTACTGCTACTACTACTACTAAAATGAAACAAACATTATTTTTAGGGTATAATCGCACAACATTTCTTCCATGCTTTAATTTTAATTGTAATTCCCCTTTGTTTGCCAAAAAATAAAGTTTGCTTAATTTTCAATAATTAAATGATAAATGAAATTAATGTTATATGCCTTCATTTGATAGACAGAAAAATGTAAATACACAACAGAATTTCTGGGGGCAAAAAAAAAAACATTTCATAAAGCTATTTTAAGAATAATTTTGAATGAATTAAGTATGCATTCAAATAATTAGACGTGCTAAAAAACAGAATTTGATAACAATAAAAATAAAACATTTCATAGGGCCCTAAACATGTAATTTTTGTTAATCTTTTAATAAATTGATGTGAAATTGTATAAGTTTAATGATTTTAATTAATTAGACATGCTATTTGATTAATACAATTTAATTTAACCAATTAATAATGAGTCCAGAAAAATGAAAATGGAAAAAAACGGAATTTGGAATTTTTTTTTACGGATTTCATAGGGCCCTAAAAGCAGCAGAATCTTGTGTAGTGATATTGACCTGTCTTATTGATTATGATCTAGAGACGGGACCCCCTGCAGACCCACCTCCCTCTCTCTCTCTCTCTCTCTCTCTCTCTCTCTCTTTACCACCCTCCACTCTCTCCTTCTCTTTGTTTTTGTGAGTTTAAGTGGCTCGGGCATAATGTCAGGTCCCCAGGCAGATTTGGCTTCAGAGTTATCCAGCGAAAAACCAGGCTCAGATGTGGGTTTCCCCTCTAGATCAGAGAGACACGAGACTTCACGGTCTGCACTCAACCTTTGCACTGGAAGATATGTGTGTCTGTGTGCAAGTGTGTGCGTGTTTGTTTGTTCAGTCTTACACCCTGCTGAGAACTGACTCGGATGTAACAGCTCCAGTTACAGGTCCACTATCATTAGCCTCCCTTGGCTAAAAGGTGAGAGGTCAGGACCAGTTAGCATGACCCACGACAGTGCTCGTTCGTTCTGGTATCGTCAGGTCATGTGACGTCATCCTCCCCCTCTCAGCCCACTCCGTCTGGTGGGACCGACTCTGACTCATATCTCCCTCCTCTGCTGTTCTTTCAATCCATCCCTCCTTCCCTTCTCTCATTATTGGTTTCCTCACTCGCTCCGTCCTTCAGTCTGTGCTGTCGCTCGCCGCACGATCTGTTAAAGCAGGGAATCCTTCGGTGACGCATTTTCCCTGCAGTTCAGCGCGTTACAGCGATCTGACCATCAATGAGCATTCTCACACACACACACACACACACACACACACACAGAGAGCATCTGCCCACACACACAGGCAGTGTTATAAAACCACAGTACAGCATCACAAGAAGTCCTTCGCTCTTTGTTCTCGCTCTCATTCTGGCATTTTCTCATTTTCTCTCTCTTTCAGTCTGTTTTGAGTGAATCTCATGAAAACATGCCCTGCTCACATTTCATCTGCATTTACATTTGTGCATTTAGCAGATTTTATCCAAAGCAGAACAAAAGCAATTTGTCAAAGAGCCAACAATATTCATTATATACAATTGCAGGTTTATTACACAACTAGAATCTATAAGAAATGATGTTATGCATTAGGAAAATGAATCGTTTATGTGACCATTGAGATGTTTTTATAGCATGACATTATTTTGCATATTTTTCTCATTCATATTGGTCTTAAAATAGGCTTTATTGTTTTCATACAATGTGCAATTTCTTTCATTTCACTTTGGGCTGAAATGTGGAATTCACACATCAAAGATGCATTTTGACATTTTAAGATGTTTGTTAAAACATTTTGACCTTTTTTTTATGTTTCACACTGCATTTCTCAAATAAATCAGTTGTCTTCATGTTTTAAACAGTGATGGGCTTTTCTCACAATGGACTGAGTTTTTTTTCTGTTTTTAGCTTGATTTGTCAGTGGTGTTTTAATCTGGCTTTCGTATATGTATATTTTTCTCCATGGTTAGTATTTTAAATGGCTTGCATTAAGCAACTAAAACCCAAAAACAATATTTTAAGAACAAAATCATGATGCATCTTCGCTGCCATGCAGATGCCATAAATAAATAAATGAATAAATAAAAATATTTTTATTGTAATTTATTTATTTTATGCATTTATATATTTTTAATTGTGTTTATGATAAAAAATAATGCAAAATTCAAATTCAATGGCCTTTAAAATTTCCCACCCACCATTGACAGTGTTATTTTTGGAGTTTAATTGGGTGAATATAAATGAAAATATTATAATTTTTCCATGTGTTCACATTGTAAACTGTATGTAAAACATGGCCTAATTATTTTACTATATTTGATGCTTTTGTTACTTCTTAAAGATATTATTATTGTTTTGAACTATTTTCTTGGATATATGCTTGTACCGCAGCGAACGAACACGCTGAGGTAGTTTGACACAATGGAGTGTGTTGTCATCAAAGCGGTCTTAACTGGGTTACTGTGTGTTTGTGTGTGTGTGTGGCAGCACATGTGTGCACAGCTGCTCAGGTGTGTTGTGTAATATGCCAGTGTATGACAGATTCGACTTTATTTTTATCCGGCACCATTAAGGTGGTCCGGCTGAGCGATGTGCTCCACTTTACACCTTGAAGACATTAGTGTTTGCTTTATATTCATGTTTAAATCTCTCTCTAGCACAAGCAGCTGAGGCTGACGTCTTCGTCTCCTTGGCAACCGAGAGAGAGAGAGAGAGAGAGAGAACGAGCGACGGCTCATTCATGAACGCTCTTCTCCCTCATTCAGAGCTCTTCATCTGCTTCAGTTGATTCTTAAGGATGGCCTTGTCTCTGCAGTGCCCTGTGTGTGTGTGTGTGTGTGTGTGTGTGTGTGTGAATGATTAGTCG